CGGTGACTGTAGTTATAGTGGGACGGAGATCGTGTATAGTGCGAACAACTGCACTATTGTTGGTTCTTCCTTGGGAGTTGCCGATGGGGGTGATAGGGTTTCCTCGTCTACCCGTCCGCAGTGCCAGGAGAGTCAAGGACCGTCCACGGATGAAATCACTTAATACTGCTATTCACGAGACAGTCAAAGCTCGCGCTGCCTCTCCAAAGAGGACCGCCACACACAGTACATTTTACCGGCGCCTATGCCCGGTGAAAGAAGACCCTATTCTATGGCAAACAGAGAACTTGCCAAAAAGACACAGCATCGGCGAGCTATGGGCAAACTCAGGATGCAGTCACTTCAGGCAGTGCGAGGGATGCTCTGTTGTAGGCGGATGTGTTGCGCTGAACTGACAGCCGAAGATGTCAGGCCGGTGCGGGAGGCATTCTACTCGAAAAGTTTCGCGAAAAGGACGAAGTGGTGGTTGCAAACCATACATGACTTCACGGTTGTGGAAGGTGGTGCTGAGCGGGTCAGGCCTGTAGCTTGCAAACGGAAGATGTGCGTGCAGGCGTACTGCAACATTCTCGACATTTCTCGTAACACATTCTATGTCTACAAAAGGATGTACGATAACGGTGTTGTCGTTAGGGAGTATGGGCACTCGGGCTTGTCTAAACCATCCGAAAAAGTCATCACGATGCTTGCACTGTTGAAACGATTCATCGACGACCACGCCGATAGTATGCCGATGACATGGTCTGGAAAAATGGAGTTTGTCGTCCTCGCCGTAGGATTCCTGCGGCATTCACAAAACGGGCAATTTACGAATCATTGCGCTCTGATCTTTTGATGTGCCACTCGGAAGTTGTGTCGGAGTCGACTTTCTACGCTATGTGGAGTAAGCACTTCTGGCACATGAGTCTAGCTATGTCCAACACATTCACGAAGTGCGCAAAATGTATATTCTACAAGCAGTGCATTGCCAAGTCGAAGTACGAGAAGGACCGTAAGAAATCCAAAGGTAGGATGCGGAAACATCAAGAGGTGCAAGTCAACTACAGGCTAGACTATAGCCGCTGCAAAATGGATTCCATCTTGCGGCAGTCCGAGTGTCTATGCATCATTATTGACGGCATGGATCAAAAAAAAACTACCATACCGCATATAGGACAGGCTAACTACTCGAAGGACTTTTACCACGAGAGGATGATGAAGACTGATCTCACGACCGTTCTGGTCCATGGACGGGATCCGTCTATATATGTTTACACATATTTTCCTTAGTACACACGCGGTCCCAGCAGTACGGCGACGTGTTTAATGCGGACTCTTACGGAGATCCAATCCAGTGGGAAACCTCTACCGCCGTTTCTTCGTATTCAAGCTG